CTTAGACCACTCGGCCATCCGTGCATGTATATCTGTTCATTTAGGGGAGCAATTGCTGAAAAATATCATCAAAATTTGTTGAATTAATGGTGATATTCTATTGTTTTCCGAAAGGCTGGTGTTGAAATTTCGCATGTTTTTTACTCGTGGTCCCATCTGATCTCTCATGAATCTTGAATTTCAAATGTGACGCCGAGGAATTCTTTGAATGGTACGGTATGATTATTGCCGTTGTGTAACAAGTTGTCATATACTTTAAAGAAGCGGAGATTCCGTCCGGCTAGCATTGATTTTGCAGAACTTGGGTGAGGCGCTGATCTCGTGGTCACTAAAAAGCTGTTTTTACTGTTCAACTGTACGTTGCACTTTTCTATAAGCTGTGATCTTTAGTTCTAATATACTTGTTTATCGTACCTGGAGGTGGTCAATTTCATCATTTTCTTCCGTTATGATGTAGTAGATCTAGCAACAGTGCTGAAGTCATTTAATGAATCTTATTCTGATGATGGAGAGCATTTATGAGCAGGATAGAAGTTTTTCTAGTTTCTCAGATGTTTGCAATTTACGCTATTGCTGGAACCACTACTGGCGATTCAGGATACATAAACTCACAAATATTCAGGTTCATAAGTGATGAAAAGTTGTGTCAGTTTAAGATGATCACTGATATCTTTATGCGATGCATTGTATTGCCGAGCCTAGTTCCTGAGAACCGAGATCGAACTCGATGTTTGCTGCATCCCTGAATTTGTTACTTATAATGTAATCGTTGTTGTTTAAAATAACGATTCGACAATGCATCATTGCTTTATCATGAGCAATCAAATGGGCAATTCAATTCAATTGGCTTATGAATGTTATGTGCAATGGAGTTGAAGACACAAAACCAGCATCGCTATGATCAGCCTCAACCCTGAATCAAGAGCACTTGAAATGAATTTGATTACCGTATGTGGATTATAGAAGAGGCAATTTCCTTTCGATACAATGATTAGTACCTAAGAAACATCATTTGGCAATAAAGGACACAATCACTGATCATGCAATTCTTTGCTGCCTGTGTCTTGATGTAGATCACTCTCCGTAATTCCACCAAGCAATAAAATCGCCTCATTCAATCTCTGCCAATTTCGAAATCTTTTCTTCACATGCGAAACTAATTGTTTATTTTGTTCGCTTCTTGATGGCTATCTAAGAACAAAAGGATCTTTGAAAGCAAACTGCATATTGTTTATCGAATGAACCACAAATGAAAATATCCAAATTAGTTTCCAACTAAGTCAAGCTATCTCAAATGAACATCCACTGGATGTCAACAATTTTTCTATCGAGTCATGAAATCTTGTAGATCAGGTGATGAAATTGAATCTGTTCATGAGCAAAATAAAAAATCCATCTCTTCAATGTTTCTTTATTGCAGTCAATGTCATCAGCTACACTAAGCGATCATAACAATAAGTATGAAATGAAATCATGTAATGAGTACGGATGCTTTCAAACAGAACAAGAATTATTACTTTATAATACAATGCAATCAAACACTATCAAATGAAATATAACAATATGATTAGAACGAAATGTTTATATAATGAAAGCATTCTGAGGTTTTCGAATCAGTACCGAAGTAGCAACACAATAATTATGGATAATAGTGATACAAACAAATTCTGATCCCTTGAAAACGACGACGCTTTGTCACACTGCAACTCATCGACTGATTTCACTAGTGGACAGATGATCGCCTCAGGTGACAGTCGCCTTTCCCAGTTATGTTCTTGCCTAGAACTGGACATCATTCACCACCACAATAGATACTTTTTGATTGTTTTTAGCAGTAGAAATGAAGAAAACATTTTAGAACTGCGATCATAATGGATATCCGCTTATTGAAAGTGTAGTGTTGGAGATTTATGAAACATGCGTTTCGGAATGGGCTCATAATAAATCTTCACAAATCTATTCCAGTTCTTAGATCTAATCGCATTATAATTAAAACTGATGGAAAAATGATCACGCTATGAGGATATTGACCGACTACTTTTCAATCTCCTCGTTTCCACTCCTAATCGATGGAAAATCTAATTACATTAGCTAACTTCATCAAGGTGACGTTTTATGTGCATGAATGTTCAATTTTCAATTGAAAATTATCTGAACCCGTTAAAACAATAAATTTTAGGTAGTATTTACTCGTGACTGTTTCTTGCAAAAGTTGAATCATCCAACGTTGTTGTTTTACGAAGTTCCTCTTTACTTCGGTTCTGAACCAATAAATCAATTTGACGTTTTGCCTCATGGATATCGTAGCAAACACTCATCCAATTGATTGCCGATATCCGTAGCTGATGAAAAGCTTTGAATTGTTCAATATCAAAATTCAACCTAAAAATAGTACCGATGATTTGTAAGGAAATATTTTGCTGCATTCAATGGGGTAGCCAGGATTTTTTTCCGGGAGGGGGGGGGATCACAAATAGCTGATTATTTGGGTAGATTATTCTGGTTCAGTTTTTCTTCCTTCACCCTTCCTCTATCTTTTCCTTCTTTTTCCCTTTTCTTTATCCTCCAGAAGGGTGAGCGCGGCCATTACGCTCTCCTTCCCCCTGACTATGCAACTGCCCACACTAAAAATTCAGCATTCCAAAGAATGAAGAATATGTCAATTGGTGATAACAAAGAGGCACAAACTCTTAATGAGTTGCTGATTAAATACACAAATAAAACAAATGAATCTTAAGTAATAAATATTTCAAATAATAAAACCTTTGTGAACAATTATTTTTGCATTCATTGAAAAGTGATGAATACTCATTATCGAAATATTGCGATAATGGTGATATTGAACTGTATCTGGGCTGTCTGAACAGCATGAACACCAACATTGAGCAGCTCTTCGGTGTGTTTGGTACTGGAGCAAGATAAGACACAATCTGAAAATACCCCATTGATAATCACGGATCTGCAACCGCTGCGATCCTTGCATAAACATGAGTACCTGGTTATGAAGGAAGCAAGATATATCATATTTTTCTCCAAAAAGATGATATCTTTATGTGTTATGTTGCTACCTAAGTTAACTCAAATCAAATCAACAATTTTAATGGAAGAATTTCCAAAAGACCTTGAAAACGTCTTTGTCTGTTAGTCAAATTATAATTGGCCATTTGGTTTCGCTGAAACAACGTCATAGTCGTTCAGCACATTCAATTCACAGTTTATTGCCGACGCGATATGCTTGTTTTGTGCGATTAATGCCATCAATGGTACTTATCATGATTTGAAGTTGTCGTCAGAGGTCAATTGCATCATCACATAACCATCCCCATCATTCACTGAGAAGCTCTTCTGTCTAATTACAAGTACAACTTCATCTAATCATCTAATTCATTCATATCGAACGCCAATAATAGCATCATCACATCTAACCATCTCAACACAATCAGTCAGTCTTAATTGCTAACGATGATCGCATCTCATCGTCCTTCCTTGATTAATATTTATTTATAATAGCATTTGATGCAATAAACGTTCTTACATCACTATTCAAATGGATTCATGAGCATTTGATCTTATATCTATCCACATATAGCACTAATCAATCATAATAAATAATTTTTCATTAATAAGCCACATTTCAGCAACCATTTATACTATCTTAATCGCTGATTTAATGAATCTCTGCAATGACAACAACAACAGCAACAATACTGCTAATCAATATGCTAAGATTGGTTTTGCGCTGGGTTATATCGTTGGGATAATTATCGAAATCTCTTTAAAGCCTGAAACCATTGAAGCAATTTTGTGCAAACCATAGTGGCAGTAACACAATCCCTCAACCACAAGTTTTCTCCTACGACAATCCTAATAAGATTATTGTCGATGAAGTGTATCATTAGATATGGTGGTGAATGAAGATTCATTTCGAGAAGATTTCCCTCAAAAATCCCTCGCTCAAACCTATCGGAAATGTTTGACCATATTTGTGCAATGCTTAATGTGCAGGAAAAGGTAGTACGTTTAGTCCCAATGCAATTGTTCATAAGACGTATATTAAGGCGGTATCAAAGAGTGTTTTTGGTTGTGCCGTTGTCGAACGCATGCTGCTGCAACAACATGGAGCGTAGGTCAACCGGATCTCCGCTACACATATCTCATAACAACAGCAATGATAATTACCTGGGAATTGGGATAATAATAACACGATTATAACGTTGTAGTAGGTTATTTTCAATAATACAATAAACATTCATCTGTTACGCTTCATATCAAACATAAATTTTGATCGTTCATCACTGTGATCAAACATCACAGTGAAAGGCTCTGTTTTCAATCGTTCGAAGGCAATCGCTCTTAGAGCCAGCATAAATATCAAATTCGTTTTTATAAATCACTGAACTGGTCTTCTTAAGAGTTATTTAAATTCACAGTGATAATACGGTAGCTTTATGGCCGAAATAATCAACAGAGACAGTAACAACAGTACACAGCTACAGCAACATACAGCAGTGGTGATGCTTCTGATTCAATCGAAATTAACCAATCTATTGAATTCTGCAGAATCCTGATTCGATCACCGAAACATCTTTAGGAAAGACAAAACTCTGAGACAATAACCCAATTTTTTTTGGAAGAAAACAAATCAGGCTAGGATTTGGAAGATGCGGCATGAGATATCACCTCAAAGAAAGACTCAAAACACAACCAACCGTTTTCCCGTCATTGATACTAGACGCGGCTAGCGATGCTGACGGAATGTCGATTATTAACCAATGAAGAAAAGCCCTGTCTGGATCGAACAGCACCAGTGAATAGGAATAATCGAATAATACTAAAAATTCATCGTTTCCATTGTGTTTTACGGAAAGTTCACTTGGAAAATACGTGATTTTTGAATCGGCTTCATTTAAAAAAGCTCATTTTAAAAAACAAAAATAGTCCCCCTTATCTCATTAATGATAGTCTGCGAGGAATTAGTCAAAATTTTTTGCCCCAATGCATAGTTTCCTTCGATATGAATTTAGTTTTTTATACTCAGGACTCTTATTGAAGTGATACTACGTTGTAATTATTCATGAATGCTAATAGCTTTCGAGAAAGGATAATGCTTGTTTGAGGTATTCATTGAGACATGCGATGGAATCTTACGTATAATCTTCATATAATCGATACAAAGATACGAAAGGATTCAATAGGAGTCCTAAAAAGGTTCACCTAAAGTCTCATCTCGTGAATTATCTAGCTTCAATATTATTGAATCGTTAATTTGTAATGCAATTAAATGTCTTGATATCAACACAAACAGACTTCCACTATCGAGTATCTTCGCATACTACAATTTGTGAATAAAACAGATCCAAAAGAATTTCAGTGGCGTTTCAATGCATCTTGTTTTCCGCTGAAATGTTGATGGAAACCATACAATAGAATCAAATTGAAATGAAATTCAGAGTGAATTTCATCAAATCAAAGCAACTAACCAACTCCGACGAAGTCCCTTGCACTGCGTTGATAGTTGGCGTTGTTTTGTGGAATACGTATCGCAGACACTCGTGGTTCATTATGCACTACCAACGATGGTAAATTACCGTCCCCGAGGGGATCCAGTGGCAACCACATATCCCTTAAACGATGAGAAAACAAAGTTTATTAATGATCTGACACGTTTCCGCTTGACTTGCAGATGTAGAAGAAAGTAAAAGGGCAGAAAAAGCATTTTTCATTTGAGTGAAGTCGAATGTGTCTTGGCTACTTGCATTAGAAAGAAATGTGTGTTTGTTGTTCTGTTGCAAACGAATGGTGCAACAAATTAGTGTTATCGTCTACAAGTACATTGTCTTGAGGTAGATGAATTTCCTCGAACGCAACCCTATTCTCATATGTGGATTTCATTTTGGGGCAGGAGCCTACTCGTTGAGGGCTGTGAAAAGTCGAAGAACGATGATTTGCCTATAGTCAACGAAAGATGATTTGTTTGATCAGCAATTATTTTTGATCTACAGCTGTTGCACTTGGAAAATTTTTAGTGAAGCGAATATCAAGTATCGAAATTATTAAATTCTCAATTTTTTTGCAGTATAAAGCGTCAACAAGTTTGAAGTGACAATTACGATTACACTTCCTTTCAACGAATCCGATTCTTATAAATTTGATAAATGTTCATAATTTCCGAGCAGTGAATGCGAATACCGCTGTGCCAGTATTGTTGTGACGATACGGTTGCTTTGATTTGAGCTTATAATTGCTGGTTTACGGTAAAGGCAGTCAAGGAACCGAGACATATTCAATGTATTCAATGCCACATTATCTCATTAGTAAACATAATTGAAGGGATATTTTTAGCGAATGGATGATTATTATTTGATTGAAAAGATTGGATTGAATCAATAAATTGCATCAGTTGACACAGACTCTGTGATTTCGAAAAGTTTTGTTCGGAATTCGTTGATGTCGAAAATTTATAGCTAATGATAGCCTATCATGACTCAGCAATAAATCAATTCGGGCGATCAATTGATTGACACTGTGGGATATCAATAAAACTGCCACAAGTGAAAAATAACAATAAATTTTATTAGAGTATTTTTGAGCGAAGAGTGTTTGCAATTGAGAACCGAAAGACATTTTAACGAGTTTTTTCCCATATGAATTCGCCTCATTCCATCATCAATAATTGGATGATGCAATATTCAGTGTTTTGAAGGTACAAAATTATCGGAATCATCCTCTTTATCAAAACACTCACGCATACTCTTCTTAGGTTCATCAGCAATCTGGATTAATCTTTAAAACGATAAAAAGAATCTATGCTAGCGATTTCAAGATGTTTTCTGATCTTTTAGCACTGGTTTAAGCAGAATGAAATGAAAAAAATGAAAGTAATTACCATAAATCAATTTGTTCACAGCAAACTTCATACGAAACAGCAGGTTGTTGGTAATCCACCGAGAGCGATGTATCCATTTCGGATAAAGGAAATGCGTTCACAAAGGACCAGCGATTATCCTTTCTTAATTCTATAATCAAATACGATAGTGAGGCGATTTGATTAGAATCTTTTGTTTACGGCTATTGAGGAATGTTAAACTCTCGACAGTATTAGTTGATAGTGTATTGCCACTATCTTTGGTGCTAGTATATTATTATTACTATTTTTAGAATAAATTATTATTGGTTCTGATACAGTACTATTAACATTATCGATGCTGATTGTCTTGTTATTGTTGTTATGGGGCTCACGATGATTACAATCAATATTATGATTATTACCATTATCAGTAGTATGATTAGCATCATTAGTACTTGGATCATTACCGACGTGGTAATCACGTTATTGAAGAGTCTTTCATAAACAGTTAATATGAGCAGAGATTAATACAATTTTCATCAATACATGATCAACAATATCTCAATCCCTCTTTTTACCAATTCATTCTCATGAACGGATCCCACAATAAATTGTCATCTTCATCTAATTAAAACATATTCCTCACAGATTATGATCAATAAAGAACGAATCGATGCAAATCAATCTCACTTTGCTGAATCAATGAATGACAGTTATCAACAATGGCTCGTATCCGTTGCTTCTCAATTGAATAAGCATCTGCTGATACCATCACGATGTTCATACCCACCAAATCTGAAAGGATCGTATTCTTATGTTCTGAGGCAGATGAGCATTCAAAACACCGCAATATTTTGAAGCAACTCTGATCTTTGAATTCAAAATATGAGTTTCATGAAGCGTTCTGACTGGAATCTTTTGTTTGCCATAACGCCTCTTTCAAATTTCCTATCATGCACCTCTACAATTAAGTCAGATCTGAAAAATTCTCAAACATTTTTAATCCTTCCGATAACTGCAGAAAATTGATCGTTTCTTCACTGACTGTTGATGCTAGGTGTTCTCGTATAAGAATGGCTTGTGTTTCATAGACTGATCGTCGCAATACTTTGATTGAACGCTTCTGTTCACCTTTAGACCAGTAGGACACTAATTCCTTTCACGCTGTTGAGAAATTTCCGGACCGGTTTTCCGTTTCATAGACAACGTTATATGTAAAGTAATAAGTTCTTGTATCAAGGGGGTAAAGGCGGCCTGCCAGATCAAAAAAAGAGATAATGGAGCACCCTAGCGTTAGGACCATTGATTTAGACTTTCATATACTTTGCTTCCAACGTATTATAGGATATGTTAACTCAATAAAAAAAAAACTAATCACCGCTCTCGAGTGCATTATCGATCATAAATTTTGGTAAATTGAATAATTCTGAGCCATCGGTGATCTTCAAATTTCCATAATCACGTTTCGGTGCTTGTTGGAAAACGATTACGACAAGTGGATTGACAAGAGGTCGAAAATTCTCTGACGGTTTATAATGCTGCAGTACCTGAAACTGACGTTTTCCTATTAACAACAAATCCACATCTCATTTGCAATCCAATCTCAACAGTCCCCTTCCGTCTTAAAAACTTTGAAAAAAAGCATGAAAACTACTTCACCCTGAGCACTCTGAATTCAAGTCTCATACGGAGCAGAAACGCTCGTAGCAATATTCCATGCTCTCCATTTTCTGAGCATTCATGAAATTCCACTATTCCTCAAATTTACCACCCAACTTGCAATGAATTCTGATTTGGTTCAACATTTTCATGAATGCTTCAACTCAAGTCTCATACGTTCATTCTTTACGGTATCACTGATTAGTCTGACTATGAGATGAAATGAAAAATGGATGGAATTTTGCACAGAAATAAGTCGAATCCGGGTGAGACTCTTCGCAGTTTATGTCTTGAAGAAATGTGAAAAAGAATTTGCGGTAAGCTGATTTGATCAGAATAAAGGCAGGCACGTATCAATTTCGTGCAATCGTCCTTCAAGATGCAGCCGAATCGTTTATTTATCTTTTGCGTACGCAGTTGTTGAGCGGCTCTCGTGAACCCTTCTCATTCGCCAGTTTTTGTGCGTAAATTGATACCGTAATGAAAGGTTGACCACTGGTGTCAAATATCATTTACAAATGCTTCTACAAAACTAAATCCTAAATTCCTAACTCATTCAGTCATCTCCTTCAACTACTTTCTTGTTTTAAAGTCTACTTTCGTTCCTTTCGATCATCTCATCTTTCTAAGCTGATTTTGTTTAAAGTGGCTTCTTGAATTTTTCGCTTACTGCTCTCAAGTGTGTTGTTCTTAATTTTTTTCCATTTGCTCCCAAATAACATTACAAATTTTCAAAACCATGCACTTAAACGATACTCAAGTTACATCCTTAACTTTTAAATTACATCTAACAATGATTACAAATTCGCATATTGCTGATGTAGAAGCTTAAGAAACGTAAAGGCCGAATCATATCGACAAATTACAGTGCAAATTAAACGGTTTTCGATCATTTTTCAGAGAAAAAAGCGATCGAAATTAGAAGTGAATGAAAATTATTTGTAAACTTTAAATGCGAAGAATTTTCACCAATAAATTGTTGTTTCTACGCATTGAGTGAATTTTCAGGAGTGGAAAAAAAGTTTTTAACGATGACTTTAACAACATGCAACAACTAATTGCCTCATATTGAATGCATTAATGGAATTTCTAAAAAACGAACGAAACAACATTAATTTTTTCCATTCAATTCGAACTAACTAAATGCTATACACACACGCACTCTAATGAGCAAACCCATCATTCTTGACGATGAGCACTAATGCTATTGTTTTGTTTTTCTTTTCTTTTCAATATTCATGGAAAAAGGCATTCTTGATGAGTTGGTAGGCGGCATGAGTTGGTACAGAATCGACGATATGTCGACGGAGCACAATAATTGCATAGGATGCTCGAACAGAACTGAATGATCGAACAGAATTCGCGCTGATATTCAATAAGATTATCGTAAAGTCAATGATCACTACGAATCGAAGGAATATAAGCAACCTTCGAGTTTTTTGGATAATCGTAAGCGACGAAGTTCAGTGTGCCGAAGCCAGCGTCCGTAATCAAGATTATAAACGTGTCATTACGACTGATTCCCGGCCATCGAATATCCGGTAGATAACGAATGTTGAACGGCTCAACTGGCTCCATATCTGGATCCACTTCAATAATGCTCCTTCCTGGTTTATCGACCACAAAATCATGATCACACGCTCGATAAGTGCCTGAATGGATTGCAGTGTTCAAATTTACGGATTATGCGGATTAGTGTTCATTTCATGGTGATATCTATTGAAAAGTATGTAAGTTTCCATAAAAATCACGCTAACTTGCATGAAACCAAAACTTGTTATAGACATTTTCACTATCTTTACAGAACAACCCATACGTTCTCAAAACATAAATATAATCTATGAAAAGCCTAATGAATCAGTTGAAAAGCTTCTCCGCAGTATCTGAAGATTTATCGCCTGAATTATACTGTCTAAAGGACTGGAGATTATCTGGGAATGTTAATTGTCAACCTTTCATTATCCCTCTCGAATGTCTCTGGTGTTCCCACTCACAAATCGAGTCCCTATTGTGCTCGTTATTGTCAGTTATTGACGAGATGGATTGATGGCCCATTGCTCAATTAAGTCAGCGGGAAGCCCCTTATTGTATCGTTCATTTGCTATTCACTGAGCGCTACTGAAGCACTCTTTGCAGAGGTCACTCACATCGATTACTTTCGTCTAACCTTACATCATTCTATCAAAATCCAATTAGTAGTTTCGAATTGCATTCGTGATTGTTCCTTAATTGAAATTCCTTAAGGAAACTGCACTCATAAACTTTACTTCGGAATATTATCATGCAAAGGATCAAAGACGATAATGACGGAATGAATATATCTAATAAGTGCAACACCCACAGAACAATAATAGTTCCGGTGTGTTCCGAAAGTTACAATAACAAAGACTGCCTTCTTCAGTTTCAAACATCGCATCTGACACGGAACTCCGCATCAGTTGGATAAGATTGCTAAAGAATTCAACAACAAAATTGCGATCGATCAAAATTTTCGAATTGCTAGTTGCTCATCGATGATATTCGATAGTTATTAATAATTGCACTCATTGCCAGCTACGATTAAGTCGAGTTAGCCTTAGGCATAGTACTCTTGGAGAGTTCAGTCCGTAATTGAGACTAGAAATTAAATCCGTCATGTGTTAGACAGGTGTGTGCATCTTCGTGGTTAGTTTATGATATATCCAATTTCTTATCACAGAAAATCTTATCTTTCTCTTCATATTCATTCCTTTATGAGTGATGCATTGTTTGAATTAATTGATGACAGATATCAATCAAAATAACACGAATATAATATTTTCGAGCTGCCGTTTTATCGATTTTACCCTCTCACTCTCCTCACAACTCTCTTTCATATGTTCATCGTATACGCCATTTTGATCAACAAACTTTTTGGAATCTTCAATTATTTTTCATAATCTTAATCCTCCCCCCCCCCTCCCCAATTGTTTTATTCAACTCATCTTGGAGTGTTAGACAACTGCATCTTCCAGTTCAGTTTAATAAAAAGTGGTTTAGTTCAGGAAACTATACAAAGGGAAATAATCAATGGTTATAGCAAAGATTGACTGGCCTTTGAGGCGATGATTTGATGAGTTAACAAAGAAAGAAACAAATTCTAAGGAAACTGAATTCACAAATTAAACATTGAAGTGTTTATTTGTTCAGCGGTTGATCACACGGAAGTGAAGTGAGATGGTTTGAGGATGGCGTGAATTAAGTAATAAAGCGTGATTTATGTTTGATCACAAACGAAATGAAATAAATTGATTGTCGGTTGAATTGAGAATGATGCTTAAGCACGATTATTTATCCACTCATTAACAACAATAAATCATCGCGCTTTACTCAACACCTCGAATAACCATCATCGTGTTTTCAACTGTCAAAGAGAATTCAATTCGTTCAAATTCCCCAATCGAATCATCGGAAATACTTCAAAATTTTTTGATTGGAAATTTACCCGTGGTCATAAAGAAACAGTTTACAATGTTGGTCGCTACGAGATGAATTTTGGGCTTCTCCTGGTATTCAAAGAAACTATACAAATACTATATGAAGACACTTAATCTGTCAAACTCTGCAATTAGGATATCTGGAGCAGGAATTTCAAAAGTTTCCTAGGCATGCTTTCCGATGACTTCTACCTAAAATCCTCGAGCACGCTACAACTTCTTATGCTTATGATGGTGAGCTCGAATAGGACTGGTTTCATAAACAGAGAATGAAAAAAAAGAGAAAACAAAACATTAATTTGTAGATGGAATAAATTTTCGAATAAGATTCGCAGAATGTGCCTTTTGAGACAAGATAAAACCAAATGCTCAACTGCTATCACTTTGTAAGAAGACATTTTGCACGAAATTTTGTTTGTTATCGCTAAAAATGAGAGCACTTTCATACTGAACTAACATGGAAGTTTCCATTTGTCATTTGGACACTGATATTTTCAGAGATTTGAGCTAACAAATTTATGGGTACTTTACGATGGTATTTATGGGTTTTCTGCTTTATTCATGAGTTATTATTCATGAGTTTTGCTTTAGAATCGTTAGCTTCTAATTTTGTTGAGATTTTTCATATGTTTGCTCTAATTTGGAAAATCTGAGATCATATGCAGATCATGGTCTCATCAATACTTCAGTATCGTAATCATGAGCATTTGATATCATTCAGTTATATCACAATACCATAATGGTAATGAGCATTCACACCATTATCATATCATTATGGCACGTTAATTGGAACATATCAGCGGTAACTTTCCCTGACTCATAGACAGTTACTTGAAATAATGCAGTCGTTGTGCTACGTTGTTAGAGGTAATAATGAAAAGTTTTCGTGTCCCTAAAGACTCGTGAATGGCATAATAAATCATGCAAGAACGCGGACTGATTACAAATTGTGAATGCATCAGTAAACGTCTTTGGACGTTATTATTTAGTGTTATCACTATCATTTTTATAATTAATTCTTTGAACATTATTAAGAACAAGTTATGTTTTTTTTGTACAGTCATGATTCGTCATAAAACCTTTCAGATTTGTTCTCAAAAAACAGTTGATTCAAATTGCAAATGAGATACTCTCCCAAACAGACTCACTACACTTCATTACATCCGTAGAATTTTATTGGTTCCAGCAATATAAATTGAGTCTCATGAAATCAAGTTATAACTTTGCAGCTACTCGGAAATCTTTTTTTCTTGTTGCTTGTCGACTGACGGAAACCAATAAAATCACCATCATATAATTCTCATCGTAATGTTCAGGTGATATTCTAGTTGAGGCTTCCATAAGGTCCAAATTAAGCAATGCGTCATCAAATATCATACAAAAAGCATGTTCTCTTGCGAAGTCGAATGAATTAAAATTGTGCAATTTTATTTCTTTCTATGACCTAAAGATATGACATAACGTGAGAGCTGAGTGTATCGAAAGAACGCCTAGAAAATCGTTGCTCATTTCATAAACCTACCTCGTGCTACCCGAGAGAATTAGAAAAACATCCCTGAAATTGTCGATTACTTTCGAGAAAAGTAGCAATAATCGTCAACAAATTAATGTGAACAACTAAATAACAAATGAAAATCAGGTCACCTGGTTGTGTTCTGAAAGTTACTCGAGGATACAAGCGAAGATTTTGTAGGAATGCGGCTTGATATGTTTTCACTCGGAATAGTCTACCACCTAGACTGTGAAATGGCTGAAGTACGTGTGGATTATAGCAATCAATCGCATTACGATTTCGACCACTGCATATCTCCCTTCAAGTTTTTGTTTTGGATTACACTTGAGAGTTCCCTTTAATTTTCCGCTAATCAGATAAGATTTCTTTGCTTCTTTCTGCATTTCAGATATTGCCAGAAAAAAAATAAAACACGATCCAAAAATTCCAATTTAAGTGAGATCCAACTCATTCCTATTGATGGCAGGAATTGCTTCTCATTTAATCCGAAAAAAAACGAAAATTCTGAAATTTCGGAACCCATACGAAACTAACTTCCATTGTTCACCGAACCAAAATCGCCTTGGTTCAGCTACTAAGCGACGAATACGTTCAATACATAGTGACGTTTCGGAGCACAGCGGATGTGCAAATCGAATTAATACGAAAATTAACAAAAATGAAACATTCATATCAATTTTCGAATCATCCTCTCATAAAACGCATCTGAAAGTAGAACTTCATTACTGCCTTCGCAATCAACCCAAATCTCTGCCATATTCATCGCAGTATGTTCACATTGCAATCAAACAAGAAAACGCATGAAAATTTATACGATTCGGTTCTCATATCCGCACAATAAAATAGAATGACACACCTCAGAGCTTGTTGGATGTAAAATGGAATACGTTCAACAGAACTGACACATCTCAGAAAAATTGGATGATGCCTGGAAGAATTCCCTTCAATTTTACAGAAATCATTTCATCAGTTCGACAACGTCAGCACGAAAAAAAAATGGAATTGCTTGAAGCGAAAATATTTGCCACCATTTAAAGGTATTATGAATGAGTGAAATATGATATTAGTTAGCATCTTGAGCAAATGAACGCAAAATTGGCATTTGTTATGGTGTGGTGATGGAGATAGCGGAAAAAAAAGATTGTTGCAAAAGTGCTGAATTATGATGGGGTGAGTGACGAACATCTGACAAATTCATCGATAAGTTGTCATAAGGAGTAAATCAACGATCGAATCACTGCGTTTGAGTGATAGGATAGCAGATGAGTGTCGTTGGTTCAATAAGCAGAAGACTAAATGAATGGCTTCGAGTTGCTTCGAGAAGAGTGAAAATTTATGAATATACGTTCATGCTAAAGTGTCACTTTATTTTTAGAACACGCTTGTTTTGGCTTCGATTCGTTTCATTGCTTATCTTATAATATACTATGGAATTCATATTTCATGACTAAAGAATATGAAAGTCATATTTCATAATTAAAACTTTTTTCATGACACTCTGTATGGTTACGTTGAAGAATTTCGAATGAAGCTTCTCAAAAGGCTAGAATTTTTCAATGAAGATCTTTTCACGCTATACTATTCATTCTGCATCAACTCCAATCATTCTATCACCTTCTTCATTTCGTTATGTTGAGCATTACACATCGCAAAAAATTAGCCGCAATTCATTTGCAGCGGCTAGCCCAGAAAAGAATGGGAATGAGCATAATAAATGTGACGTCTTGTCTTGCTTCAATATTTCATCTGCTTGAAAATTCTTACTGAACTCGATTCTAAATTCATTTGAAGCCTTGCTCAATTCATTAGGTGATAATTCGAATGAACCACGAATTGACCAGAGATTTAGACCAAACGGCACTCAAGCGGTATCACTTAGCACAATAGCAGCAGCAGCAATTATATGTGTGCATTACTGATGATATACAGCTTGAAACAACACCGCTTACGAAAATGACATCTTTGTACTTGGTAACCAATAAATAATATGCGTTCACGTAAGATATCTTACACACGTTGAGGATATACATTAGAATATTATGAATATACATATATGTGAATAGCTACATATAATAAATACATGTGTGTGTGTGTTCATAAATAAGATCCTTCTTCAAATGAAATCTATTTTTACTTTCAGGCAGAGAGGCGATGCTATCGAAAGGTGGATAGAAAACATCAACGTTATCTAGCTGTTGTCTGCAGCACGCAACACGATTCAAGAGAGTCTCCGTAGAAATATATTTGAATAATCATTTGATATTGCAAGAAAAGCTAATGAAAACTTTTAATGAAGAAGTTGTATTATACGTTACTCGCTTACTCTGAAATAAATTTCTGATACGCGTTTTCGAAGTTGTTTCCGAACGAACATTTCATAAGTGTCATTGCTCTGTTAAAGATCATAAAATACCAACTCTCACTTCATTAAAGCTCTCAAAGCAATGACATATATTTAAGGTTTGGTATTTCGAGTAAAAAAGTACTACAGCGGTACTTCTATTGAGTAAAAGTTTAGCACAATTTACTACTGAATTCCTTATTGTGTATGGCAGATAAATTCCAATTCACATCTATCGATGCACACTGAAAATGAGGTGTTCACTAAACTACACTCGCAAACAGATGTTCAACTAATAAGAAATATCAATATTGAGATGAATTGCTGAAAAAAAAAACGTGTAGGTTGAAAATTGTAAACGTTATTCAAAACGAAAAGTTTCTATGATTAATTAATTAAAAAATTCATTGATTTGGTTGATTAAAAAAGATAAATTGTAAAGGTTATTCAAAATGAAAAGTTTCTACGATTAATTGATTAAAAGTGAAAAAACAAAATAATTGATCGGCTAAAAAAGATTCATCAAAATAGTACACATACGATGCGATAATCGCCTTGGCTACTTTAGTTCTTTTTGTTGAAAATTTCTTAAGGTCTAGTAAATATTCATTGGACATACAAACGAACTGAAGCGGAAAGGGAACTGAGCACGCTGACAAAACAGATATCAGCTATAAGAATTCTCTAGTTCGTATAATAGAAAAATCGGAACTGTACATTAACATTAGTGAAGAAATGTTGCACTAATTGTGAAGTAAAACGAATCGAGCGTATTGCTCACATCATTTGCACGATGAGGAAAGTGAATGAAACTAGTGAAACGGCAAAAAGATAGCGTAAAATCTGAAGGAAAATTCAATTGATTGAGCGACACCTTTCTCACGAAATTTTACGGAACACATTTTGACTAGTGAATTGTTAGCCTCAAAAATGGAGCAATTCGTTGATCAAATGTCTCATCTCATAGACGAATGATGTACCCAGCGAAATGACGGAAATTAATCCCTCAGAGAGGAGGAGGAGATTTGCTGGTGAACATAAATATTGTGAAGAATAAACAACATCCTCAAGTAAACGAAAGTAAACGCCCCAAATTCGAATAATGACACATAGCACAAATGTTGTGATTTCATAATTGTTTTTGAGACGTCTCTTAGTATTCGTAACACATAATCAAATTGATAATGCTAATAATGTCAGAAGCATTCATTCATTTATCATCATTTAATTGTTATTTTGTTTGTTGTTCCCAGCAATTCGTTTCAAGTTAGCCGAGAACGATTCAATTCTATAATCCGTCATATTGAGGCCAGAAATGTTCGGGCAATATCTTGCGGGCTGCAACAAATCGCTCTATTTGTAATAAGTTACATTGTTTGGATATCATTAAACATTTACGAACTAAAAATCTACGAGCAAAACTAATAATTGGATGTGTTGAGAGAACAAACCATCCGTATACTTTAAAGCACTCGTTCGTTTATATAACTACTAATAAGTTATTGATGATGGAAGAAAGAAATCGAATTAGTGAACTTCAGCACTTGGAATAGCTCGATGGCAATTCACTGAAATGCTCTTCTCTTCGACGGAAATAACAGTCGTCAAGAACGAGAAATATTCATCATCCAGTAATGAAGCTAGTTTCGTTTATAAACTTATTTTAGTCGATTGATCCAATCTATTGAACGAACGTAAGAAAAATGCCCAACAAAAAGCTAATGATAGGTCGTATTGAACTAATAGATTCATTACAGGTTTTGTTTTCAGGCTGAAGACTATAAATTGATTTCAAGCAAAGTCCTAAACTTCAGCACTGAGAGATTGATTGATTAATTCAGGATCTGTTTGCGAACAAAAAACAATTCCATTTGCAAATGTGCACTTCATGGAGACAAAAAACGTGAATGCAGATCAAAAAGCGTGCCTAATTTGATTGAAAAACACAAATGTACCTCCGTGCACTTTAATGGATCGCTGAAAGGACTCGTGCAGTTCAGCGAATTTAATGAATTTATTTTCGATGGAATTTACGAAAAAAACCAGCAATACCATTGCTTGAAAACTGCATTGTTCTCGTCGAAATTGTGGCTCTAAAAGTATCTTACACTCGTTAGTAATATATGAGTACGTCATAAATACGTCTAAATTATATGCATAAGCATTCACTAATGATTGAACTAATGCAGTTTACACAAAATCAGGAATCTTTATGGGATAATCACATAATCATTTGCTTTCGAGTCGTTTCAGTTGTTTCCCATTTCTGAATACCGTCCACTTGAAGCTGCAGGCAGCAAGAAAGAAATCATAGCAAAAGCAACGATCAAACACAGTCAGCAGTTGTAAATCTGCTTGTAAACTAAACTTTTTTTTCTACAGATGGCTTGTCTTTAATCAACATTGTAATGTGATACGAAAATTCTGACTGGCAGTGAGATGAGTGGATATTTTCAGCGAAAAATTTAACTGCCAGATTTAAAATAGTTGCTTGCCACTTCTTTAACGTGTCATTATCGACTCAATATGTTGGATTTCTTTTTCTGTTCGTTGGTTGCGTAACAGATGATTTTCAAAATGTATTGAAGACATTTCAGTGATTAATTGCCCTTTTCTCTGGAAAGTTGGTAACACTTTGACTTTAAGTTCATCGTTTTTGTAATGAAGATTAATGAGGCACCTCGAAGGAAACGATAAATAAACAATTGTAATTAGTCTTTTGACATTTGACCGAGCAATCGTTTTTGTGACACATCGAAACTCAACTTCAAGAAACAACTGAACAGTGTTTTCAAGCGAATGTTTCAAATCGAGAACTGACNTTTTTTTGTGAGATTCAAGGATTAGTTAAACGTGAATTATAGCTGAATGATGAGCGGCGTTGTTTAGCATGAACATGATCAATTCATATAGATAGAGGTTTATTATTGGTGGATAACATACTCAATGATCATCGGATAGTTATATATTGACACATGCGTATGCTTTTTGTTGCTTATATGGCGCAAGCCACTGAGGCTCGCTTTCACGAATAGTTAATTATTTTATTATGAAAATTAACATCACCATTTTCAGTTGTTCCGTTTTTGAAGCATGACTAATTGTAAGCTGAAATAATGAAGAAATGAGTAGATCGATTGAGTAGAACTAAATTCTTCAATTTTCGAGGAGTTTAGCACCTGAAAAGCAAATAATGTATGAACGATTACAATTGAAAGGATAAGAACATGTACTCGAAAAACTTCCGAGGCAATCGTGAATTGATTAGTTAAGCAGTCGCAAAGTGAGTGACACTCATTCACAATGAAAAGAAAATTCAGTGAAGTGTAA